TCTTCTTCTTCTTTTCTTTCTTTTTTTTAAAAAAAAAAATTTCTTGCTTCTCGCCTTGCTTCTTTGAGAAGGATGCTTGCCAAAAAGGGGGTCCTGGACGCATATCCTGAAGGACACTAGATGAAGATGATTTATAAATGCTTGAAATGAGCGGAGGGGAAGAGTTTGGTGCGGTACTAAGACTAAAAGTGGTTGTGTAGTTATTATACATTTTTTTTTTAATCTTTTCTTTTTGTTGTAATTAGGGGTGGTTTGTTTCATCTTTTTTTTCCTCTTCCTTTGCTGACTAATTTGAAGACGAAATGTGCCGTGCCAAAAAAGTTTAATTTTGCGCGCGCTTTTAAGCGTTTTCTTTATATTTTCTCTCCAAATGTAAGAGTTTGAGAAATTAGTGCGTAGAGTGTCTGCGGGATTATTTTGTTAGTGTGAATAAAAAAAATTTAAACGTTGTGCTCCGGACGTGTCGGAACATGTTGTATTTCTTGGGTTTTATTTTTCGTGACAGTTTGAAACACTGATATTAAATGTTTTATTAATTGTTTTAGTTTTACTAGATTAAATTTCTTCGGCATGTTTTAACTTGCTGTCGTAAAATCTACAATTATTGCTTCATCTTTCTTTCACATTGTGATGGATTCGCTTTTATTTTTCTTCTCCCCTAACTCGTTCAATATTCTAACTTATTATAATTGTTTACAGACATTTTAATAAAGAGTATTTCCTGTTAGTATCGCATAAAAAACACTTAAAATTAAATACGTCGTGTTCAATCTGATGTTCTAGTTGTAACATAAATAGAATACAAAACTTTTTCTTTAACTTTTTATAGTATAGTTATTTTTGATTTAATTTATTTAATTGGCTTTAGTGAATGATGATATGAATTTACGTGTTATTATGACACTTAAATGAATACGAAATATTATGAAAATGCAATTCAAAGAAATGTTTTTTTCTCCAATGACCGCCTGGGGAATGACCTACGTCATACAGGCATCTGAAGGGCAGATTTGTTGGCCACTTTTCCAGGGGCACCATATAAGGTGGGCTAACGTTGCTTCAACAGTAAGGACAGATAGTACAGAGAATGTAAGAACATCCATGCCTTTCCCCGGGATTTGAACCCAGAACCTTTCTGCTGCAAGGCCTGTTCCCTAACCCCTACGCAGGTCTGTCGGCATTCAAAAAAATGTAGCACATTTAAGACATATTGTTAAACACATTGTAAACATATTGTTAAAGACATTTGTAACTATTGAGTAGAAGTTGAGAAAAAGATTCAATGAAAACCTGGTTCTAAGAAATATAGTTCATTAAAAACATATAAAAATTATTATGTCTAAATTTTGCGATGACTCATCAGTTACAATGATTTAGACATGTTCCAACAGATGTTATTGCTCAAAAACATATTTGTGATTATCAAACCAATATTATGAGAAGATTTGTCAAAGATAATTAAACAGAACCAACTACTGGTTCCATTAGATTTTGTTCATTAAAAACATATTTGTGATTATCAAACCAATATTATGCAAAAAATGGTTCTAACAAATGTAGTTTATTAAAGATATATGTGTGACTATTTAGTGAAAGTTGTGGAAACGATTTTAAAAAAAAGTGGTTCCAAAAGATGAGACACATTTGCAATTATTAAAACAAAAATTATGAAACAGATCCAGCAATTGATTCCAACAGATATAATTCATTAAGAACATATTTGTGATTGTCAAACCAATATTTTGAAAAGGTTTAATATATAATGGTTTTAACTTACGTATAGTTTATTAAAGACATATTTGTGATCATAAATTCAATATTTTGTGCAGCGAAAAAACTCGTTCCAACAGATGTTGTTCATCAAAGACATATCTTTCATTATGTCGTTGAAATTGTGAGAGTGATTCAGAGAATGTTTCATTTCAACAAAAATAATCATTAATACCATTCAATTTTTGGAAGCATTGTTAGGATTGTGAAAACACTGTTAAGATAAGCTTTTTAGTAAAAAGTTTATTTGCAACGGCTACTGTAATGTTACGGAACAGACAATTTTAATTTAAAAATTTAGTCAGGAAAAGCCATAAGAATCGTGTTTATCGTATGCACGTCCGCAATCAAGCCATCTGCTTTCTATTTTAAAAAATTGAGAGTTCTTTATTAAAAGAGGTTTTGCTGAGTGGATTTCAGTGGTTTATGCTAGCGTCAAAAATTAGTTGGGCAGTTTTTAGCCCACTGCCTTTGAAAAGCTAAGTCCGTTACATACCTGCCAACTTTCACTCTTTCCGAGAATGGATTTTCAGAGTGGTTGTAAAACAATAAACGAAAAACAATTTGACTGAAAAATATATTTATATTTTGATCCCGTTGAAATTCGCTTGCGCAAGGATTATTATGCTTTTATATATTTATTGTAATTATTTATATGTAGTGGTGGTCAAACTCATTTATAATTATCATTATAATTCAAAAAGTTAATTGGAATAACCTGAGTATTGCTACCACTTTAAATATGAAAATAAAATCTTCCGGAAAATCCGGAAGAGTTGGCAGGTATGCCGTTACTAGTAAACTGCAAAGCACATTATGCCAAGTTAATTTTTAAAACGAGATTAATTGAAAGTTGCTTTCTACAAATTTAACGAATCTTAGAAAAAGAAGTACCGAAAAAAAAAACTCTGGTAAAGAGCGAACCTGAAAAAAGCACAGGATAAAGTGCACCTCATTACCTATTATACAATTGCAGCTTTTGTTTCGATACGGGTCGATGAACTCGAATTTAATGTAATTAAATAATTATTAGATTATAATTAGATATTTTAAAAAGAAAATTTTTAGAATACAAAGTTTAATTTGCTGTCGGCAGAACGGAACTTTTAATACTTATTCATTTTAACGGAACTTTTTAACTGTAAATACAACCATATGATGTATAACAGTATTGTTATAAATACTTTATCAGTAGTTTCTCAGGGGGTAAATCTATTAATGAGTTAAAAAATATTAACAAAAATGATAGAGTATTTCAATTGAATACAATTTTGAAATATCGAATCGTTGAAAAAGCATTGTTTATTTTTGTTATATATCACAATACAATAAGTGTAATTAGTGAAATTTAGAACATATTTAGAACTGCTGAAGAATCCAAACCAATTTGTTAAATAAAATGAAGTGGCAGAAGTTTCTTCCCTTCTTTAAATTAATCCCTCTGCATGAATTAATTTTTAAATAAATATCAAATTAAGTTCGAATAGCTATTTAAATACATTAAATAATTTCGGGCACAACGGCCCGAGTAGAATCGATGGTTACATTTTTATAATTAATGAGGTGCTTTTTTTTCTCCTGTCAGCCGATTTTGACAGCATTTTCCTAAGATCACGGTGAATCAGAGTTGCTTTCGATCTCTCCAGTTGGTTTAATCATCATCTTAATTTGACATCAACTTCTGGCTATAGATTAAAAAGAATGCAATTTACTACCGTTTTCCAAGAAGAAATAAATCGCTCCACATTCCCAGCAACCGTATCAAAATACAAAACGGCTGAGAAGCGGTGAATGAAATATAATGATGATAAAACAGAAGCAGAAAGAGGAAAGAAAAGTACATCAGCGCTGGTGCTAGTGTTACAAATAGATATTCGGAATGCTTTATGATACAAATATGGCCACTCCATCCAGTTTCAGGCTGCGCGTGCAGCGGGCATGATAAGGCGGACAGAGAAAACCCGGGTTTTTTTGGGGTAACTTGTGGTTGCTCACACTAACTCTCCGGGTAAAGGATGTGTTATCTGCTTTTTACCGGGCAGAGAAAAAAAATCTTTTTTTTTTCTGTTGCCATCTCCAGGATAAATAAAATAATATCCACGGTAAAAACCACTGAAACAGGCATAAAGAAATACCCTTGCCGCATGCTTTATAAATTTTTATTATGTACAGTAAATTTTAGTTCCCGTTTTTTTTCCCTGGATATTGCTGCTGACCATATGTCCAATAAATCAGAGTGGTCGAAATGTCACGTGGTGGCGATGAAAAAGCGCATTTCGAAAGTGTGTGGTTCTCTCTACTTTGGCGATTTATTTGCGTTGAGTTTGGCGTGTATGTACGAAGGCGTTTAAATAAATGTGCGAATGAGTTAGTGGAACTTTTTGGTGATGGAGCGTAAAAATATACTTGGAATGTGGTTCGATACCCAGGTGTAGTGGCTTTGGTGTATAGGGATTTTAGAGTTGGAGAGTTTGAATTGTTGCTGTTTTCGAAGCTATTTTCTTTTATTTTAATCTTTGACATGTGGTTAAAAGGATGTGTTACCACAAGATAATATTGGCGAAGAGTAGAATAAAATTTTAAATTGTGTATGAACTTTTTCTTCAAAGCCAAGGGGGAAAAAGAGCTACAGTTTGAGTGAAGTCTTGTTGAGTGCACAAGAAGCACTGCTTTAATTTTAAACTTAGATACAATCTTCTTCAATAAAATTGTCTAAATTTTAAATCTAACAAACAATTTGTAAATAAATTTAAATAAAAAAATAAATAAATGAATTTAAAATATTTAAATAAATGTAATTAGTAATAAATTAATTTAAAATATTAGTAATAAATTGTAAAAGTTATTAACATATTTTATCTTTGTCGTCTTGAGATTTATTTTAAAAGATTAATAAATCTTAGGATAGTTTTGACTTCTTTTGTAGAGAGATCACTATTTTTCTCTGTCTCAAAATATAGCGAACGGGTCAAATAAATGTTAAAAGAAGAAGAAAAAAAAACTAGGAAGATTATGTTATATATTTATTTTTTTTCGAGTACTTTTTTTTTTCGTCCTGTTTTTACGGAGAATATTTTTTCTGATACTATTTTTTCCGGGCTTCTTTTATTATTATTTTTATTTTCGGTGCTTTTTCCTGGAATTGGTTACCATTTAATTTTTCATAATTTTTATTCGATTTCATAATTTTTATTTTCGTTCGATTTAGTCTTTGCCTAGTTATCAATAACTCAATTGACCCTTTTTATTTGTAATTAATGATGTTTTCATATCCATTGTTTATAGTGTCAATTAATTAACTAAAAGAAGCAACTGTCTTTGAGGATATGAAAAATCACGTGATTAAACAGTCTTTCGTCAGACGAGGAAACTCGTTCCATCTTTCTTCCAAAATGACGAATTGATTAGAACTCTTTGTTCACTGATCCAACCTTCCTGAGCTTACAGGCAATTTTTACAGGCAGCCGACAATCCTCTGCATTCTGTCATAGGGGCGTGCTGCCATTCCGCTCTAAACAATGGACAGATTCATCATTGCCAGTCTTTCGATAATTGTTACAGATCTTTGCCAGAAGTCTGAACTAGAAAGGAAGAAAAAAAAAATTTTTATTATTATTTCTTACGCAACTTTTCTGATATATTGTCCTGCGCAGTTGAGTTGACAGACGTCTGTTGTACTCCCGATTGTTTTCTGGAAGAAGATTCCCTGGACAAACTCTGTCAGCGAAGAAATTGTTGCGAATTGTATCCATCTACCCGTGTTAGACTGTATCTAGACCCCGTAGAATCGCGCGTGTTGTGATTGCCAATTTTCTTTTTAGGGTTAGCAATAAAGAGTGGATGATCTTTGATTGATATAGTATGAAGATTGGGGAGACCTTGTTAAGAAAATTCGTCTGTCAGATTGTTTATTTGCATTTAGAGGAAGTGATTTAACCGTCTTTGGGAGATAAAAGATAAAATCGAAACTTCTGATCTATGAGCATTCGAACAATAGAATTCAATCTATTAATTCTGATCGTATCTTTATGAGCCAGTTCTTTTATTTTTATATGGTAATGTAACCCATATTTACCTATTAACTTTTCAATCTTGTTAGGGATTATTTAATCAGGCAGGATGTGATTTAATCGTATGTCATTCAAGTTTTTATTCTCTGAAAAAGAAAAAGCTCTGCAAATGTGAGGATAATTGAAAGCTCTGATTGACTTAGACTGATAAAATGGCATATTCCGCTATCGAAAATGAACAAAATTCATGTAACTGAGTTTCACATAAGATTTTCTTGTATTTTTTCTGAAATTTTTGAAACATGGCTCTTTAGTGGCTATTCGGCATTTCCCCCCCCCCCTCTCATTTATAGCTTTTTGAAGAAGAACATCTTGAACTTCCAAAAATTTAGTATTTGAATTGATGAAATATTTTTGAATACTTCTACGAAAATCTTCTTCAAAATCTGACAAATCTTCAAATCTGACAATAAACTTGTGCATATGATATTATAAGTTACGAAATGAGACACAAAACCATACTTTCACTGAATAAACATACCTTCTTTCGACGGACTTGTATTCCTTACCCTCAAAACATAAGAAGTAGCCACCATCTAGGAAATATGGTCCCAATAATTTGGGTCAGGAGAGCTGCTCCAAAGTTTGGTCCCTTTAACGTTAATTTTATTTTATTTTTTTTTGTTTGCCCTATCTCGAGTACTTTTTAATCGAATGGTAAAATTTTTACTCACAATTATAAAACTTTCTTATCCAAGGGAAATGTCACGTAAAGAATAATTTTAATAATTATTTATCATTTAATTTAACTATCAGAAGCATTTTAGATTGCAAGGCATATAAATTTTTTACATAATTTTAAAGAATGTAATTTTATTAGGCAAAATTCAATGTTTGAATTAAATCGGCCGAATAGTTCCTAAGAAATTGAGTACCTGAGATTAAAATTTAATTTCTCAGGAACTATTCAGCTGATTTCGTACAAATTTTGTATTTTGCCTCATGAATTTACACTTTTTAAAAATTATGTAAAAAATTTTATGCTTTGAAATTTAAATTTTTTTGTGACTATTATTGAGTTAAATAATAAAAAATAATAAACAGTAATAAATAATTATTTTTGAATGAAATTATCTCTGAACAAGCGAGTTTTATAATTATTTTTAATATTGTTTTAAGTCGTTTAAAAAGTTCTGTGATATAATGAAAAAAGTAAAATTAACATTAAAGGGTCCAAACTTAGGGCCGCTCTTCCGACCAAACTTTTGAAACCATATTTCCCAGATTGCGATTACCCCCAATATTTTGGGAGTTAAAAAAAAAAAATCCAAAAATGTTGAAATCCATTCCGTTGTCCAAATTTAATCCAACACGTGGTGTAAGAGAAAGTTATGTTTCATTGAAATTACAGAACGCAGAAGTCCAATAACAATAATTTACTCCGGTTGCTTCTTCAATATCTTTATGAAAATAAATTCAAAATTACTTGATGCGACATATCAGCAACGTTCTTGTTTCTAAATAAAATGTGTCACAGCTTCTCCTTGCATACGTAAATTATTTAATTCACTGCTCTGAAAAATGATGGAACTAAATCTATTTTTATTTACTCACTGTTCCAACTTGAAAAGACCATAATGTTGAATTAAAAACAAATACCTCATGAAATAAATTGGTTCTATCTGACATATGCAATAATTATATTACTTATATAACTAAGATAAATGGTATAAACATTTATAAGTATATAAATTAATCTCAGATTTCACATAATCGGTATTAAAAATAGAAACATCTAAATGTTCAATGAAAAGGAGATAAAAATGATTCCCAATGAACAATACAAAAGTAATAAAAGTACCTGATTGATGGTAAACACTTGCAATAATGAAATATGAGTACTGGAAAGTATTATTTTTGTCATAAATCTTTAAACAACAAAGTGCAACAATTTAAAGGTTCTAATTTTAGAATCCGTCACTCAGTTGCTTGCTTTTTGTTCTTTTTTTTTATTATCGAAGTCCGAATTAAATGGTGACTAATGTGATGGACCCGGGGCAACAAAAAAATAAATAAATAATGTTTCGGACTAGTGGTTTTTTAGATTTAGCGGTTGAGTGGTTTTTGTTTCTTAAAATGAGCAATTGGTTTCATTGCTAGTGCAATTTCCCTATTAGCTTCTTTTTTTTTCCATCTGATTTCAATTATTCTTTGAGAAAAATAATATACTAAGTAATTTTGTGCATTTATTTAATCTTATATATTCATTGGGATGTCTCTGTAAAGTTCAGTTAAAAGGTTCGCTATAGAGAAAATTTGAGTGTACAGTGTTAAGAGATTTTTGCAGTTATTTAAGTAAATAATAATTTTTTCTTATCTGTATGATAAGTTCAAATGTATACAATTATACCATATAATTGAAAATGAAGTTATACCATATAATTAAAAATTATACCATATAATTAAAGAATCAATAATTAATCTCTCTATGACGAAATCGATTGATTCCATTTAAAGAAATCGTTATAGAGAAAATTTCAATGTACGGTGCTAGAGATTTTTGCAATTATATAAGTAAATGTTACAAATTTTTTAATCGGTATGTTAAGTTTAAATGTTAAACAATTATACCATATAATAAAAAATGAAGTTATACCATATAATTAAAAATTATACCTTATAATTAAAGAATCAATAATTAATCTCTCTATGACGAAATCGATTGATTCCATTTAAAGAAATCGTTATGAAGAAAATTTTAATGTACGGTGTTAGAGATTTTTGATTTTTGCAATTATATAAGTAAATGTTACAAATTTTTTAATCGGTATGATAAGTTTAAATGTATATAGTTATACTATATAATTAAAAAATTAAGTTAATACATATTATAAATGTTATTGAAAGAATTTGATTCAGCGAATAATCAATAAGGAATTGTTTCGATTTTTCTTTCTTTTCAAAATGGTACAAGAGTTCCATATTGTTTTGTAAATACAATAACGCATTGTTTCTCTTTTACAATTTACCTCTGAACAATAAATACTATTGCACATTGTTACTGAAAAATTTCATCCAAACGTTTATTACATTTTTTATGACATTTTATTACTTTTTAATAATATTTATTTTATATGAAACTAATGCCTTAAATTTCAAAAAAATTTATCTTCTCCTAGTAGTATGAAAAGTTACAAATCTATTATTACGTATTTATAATATATATTATAATTCAATTATAATTATAAATAATATATATTATAATTATAAATGATAAGAATTATAAATATTATATTTTTTAATTAATTTTTTTAAATTAGAAATTAAAACTAATCATTTTTTTAAACAATTTTCTTCTTTTTTAAATAAGAATTGTAATAATTAAAGAACATATTATTGTTTTGTAAATAGAAAAATACATTGTTTTCCCTCTTGAATTGGCGTCAAAGTAATGCCTTCAAACATAGTTATTATTTTTGATGTTTAGTAAAATAATGTTTTAAACAATACAAAATAAATGCATTCGTTTTGCTGTGATAAATTGCGTGCCCAATGTTTAATTTCTTTCAATATTTTGTCAGTTTTTTTGCATTATTTATTTGTATTAAAAGTACATTTCAAATTAGTGTTTAATTTTTTAAAGAAATCCATCCATTCCTTGTAATACAGAGAATTTTAGATATTTATTAGATATTATGTTTTTTTTTTTTTTCCAAATTAGTATGTTAAATAAAAAAGAAAGATAATCAATTTGTACTATAAATAATTTATACTTCCATGTAGTACGAAGTGTTTAGATGTTTAGTTATCTTATTTTTATTTACTAATTAATGTTTTAAATTTAAAAAAAGATGAAAATTAATCAATTTTTTCTATAAATAGTTTATATTTCCTCGCAACCTTCCGAGAGTTTCCATTGTTTATTATACAATATTTTATTTTTATTAAATTAATACTTTAAAAAAGGAATTTAATCAGTCTGCTCTATAAGTAGTTTATAGTTCCTTGCAGTATGAAGTTTTTTAAATGTTTATTATAGATTACTGTATTTTATTAAATTAATACTTTATATTAAAAACAAAAAATTAATCAGTTTATTTGAATTAGTTTATAGTTCCTTGCAGAACGAAGTGTTTTAGATGTTTATTATATATTATTGTATTTTATTAAATTAAGACTTTATATTAAAAACAAAAAAATTAATCAGTACATAATAGAAGTAGTTTATAGTTATTTGCAGTTAGTTCGAAGAGTTTTATATATTTATTATATATTATCGTATTTTTATTAAATTAATACTTTAAATGAGAAAAAAAATAGAATTAATCAGTTTGTACCAGAAGTAATTTATAGTTCCTTACAGTACGAAGAGTTTTAGATGTTTATTACATATGGTCGTATTTTTATGAAATTAATACTTTAAATTAAAAAAAGAAAGTAAATTAATCAGTTTATAAAACTTTCTTTCTTTTAAAATAGCCTACATAATTTTTGCGAATAGCGAAACACATTGTTTCCCTCCTTCAATCTGCGTCAAAAGAATATTGTGACATATTTGTGTGGCAGACCTA